CGCGCACGCCCCTGCGCCTCCGCCGCGCGCCCGCGCCACACACATCCCCGCCGCCGCGCCTCCGCGCGCGCTGCTCCTGGCCAGCGGCGCAGCCACGCGGCGCCGCGCCGCTCGAAACATGCGTCTGGCGCCGACGCGCTAGCACCCGCACCGCATCCCCCGCGCCTGCCCGGACGCTGAGGCACGACACAGACGGCCGTGCGCACGCATCGCGGGCCGCGCATGTCGTTTGCAGACGCCGACAGGGCGCGCCGCCGCGCGCGCCACGCGCCGCCGCCGAACACGCTGGCCGTCGCCAGGCCGCTCTTCAAGAAGGGCCGCGACGCCGACTCCCGCGTGCACCGCCTCTGGCGGGGAGACGCGCTGGAGTCCCTCCTGGATGCCCTCCGCGACATGGCGGAGGAGCGCCTCGTCGGGTGTATGGAGAGCTTGTCCCTCGAGGGAGAGGGGGGGCACGGCATGCACGATGATAGCGATGATGACAAGGCGTTTAGAGAGGCCTTTGGTTGCGACTTTTCGGAGGATGGGGAGGAGGGCGAGGGTGACAAGCTGGTTGGAGAGGCCTTTGGAGAGGACTTTTCGGAGATTGGGGAGGAAGAGGAGGGGTGGGAGGTCGATGTGAGTCAAGAGAAGTTTTCGTATGATGAAGGAACCGCGTTCGAGGAGGAGGAGGAGGATGAGGAGGGGGAGGGAGAGGAAGAGGAGGATGGTGCGATTGACGATTGTGGGAGGGTTTACTTGCATTTAGAAGCGACAGACTGGTTAGATGGCGTTGAGGCAGGCATTCGAGATGAGTAGTAACATGATAAATACCTCAGCCATCCGCCGATGTTTCCTCTCAAGCAATGGGATGAGATTTGTAACAACGTCATTTGTACCACTCCTGCACTCTGAAGTGCTCGTACTCAAAGGGTGTTCAGCAAAGACGCGACTTGAGATCTTCATCATAACGCGTGGCACTCGTGTCCTCCGTACCACGTGTCAACGCTGTCTCTATACTGTAAACAATGGTCATTTCCATTACAGTACTTGGGGTTCGCCGATGCGCGTCGCCGCCGCCGCCGACCCCCCGTTTTCCACCCTGATCGCCCCGCCCTCATCAAGCCGCGCCATAATTCCCTCGCTCCCCCCCCCTTCCCCCTTACCCAAGAAAGTCTAGGACTGACTGTTTCCACATTCACGAGGCCTTCTTGCTCATCCCCCCGTGCGCAATGGCCCCTCTCAACCTTTTCCTTTCGACGCTGTCGTCGGGCACGGCGGTGCTGCCGCCCGTGTCGACCGCGGCCGACCTGCACGCCTCGGCCCTCCGCCTGCACCCGGGGCTGCCGGCCTCGTCGCTGCGTCTCGTCGCCGCGGGCCGCGACATCCCCGTGGATGTCGACGCCCCGCTCGCCAACTTCGGCCTGTCCGACAACGTCACCGTCACCGCCCTCGCGCGCCTGCTCGGTGGGGGAAAGAAGAGGAAGAAGAAGACGTACACCAAGCCCAAGAAGATCAAGCACAAGCACAGGAAGGTCAAGCTTGCCGTCCTCAAGTACTACAAGGTCACTGACGGCAAGATTGAGAGGCTGCGACGTGAATGTCCCGCTGATACTTGCGGCGCCGGCGTGTTCATGGCTGCCCACAAGGATCGCGTTTATTGCGGCAAGTGCGGCCTGACCTATGTGCATGAGAAGTAATCAATTGCCGCGGGAAACGTGCGCGATGGCACTGCATCGCAGCTATGTTTTATGCTGCTTTTCTTTCCCATTGATCAACCCGCCGTCCCTGCTGGTGTTTTGTACCTCCTCTATTAAACTCGCTTGGCGGTGGAAAGTGTCTCTTTAAATCCTCGCATCGCGCCTTAGACAATGTCCATGTCTAGCCCTCCTGTACATTGTGTGGATCGCTTTGCTTTCACGTTCGACGATATTCTGTACAATTACATCACATTCCTTTCTTATTCCGTCCCGCAGAACTGCGACCGAAAGTATCTGCATCTGTTTTATCCATCTCCGAGTTGCCATCTTTCTCTCCACCCTCGCTCACTTTGACCACGTCTTTCCCTGCAACTGGACCATCGCCGCCGTCGCTCTCCCATTTTGTTTCTTCAGCGACCTGCTTACCCTCCACCGCAACCTCGTTCATGTTCGCATCGACATCCGCAGATGCACCAGTGCCCTCCTTCCCTTTTTTTTCTGTCTCCTTTCCATCCTCTTCCCCCTCCGGAACCTTGTTTGTCGATGTCCCTCTACTCTTCACCCCCTCCATGTCCTCAACCGTGCATTCCTCTTCGTCACCGTCCTCATCCATACTCGATTGCATCAACGATGGAATCGACAACTCTGCATCCTTGACCAAATTTGAAATAATTGACCGATACCTCTCGTCCATAGCCACCGACGTCACCCCCACCTCGTGATGAAAGTCCAAAAACTCCTTCAATACAGCCGCCACTCCAAGCATTGATTGTTGCGGTAGCGCAGCCTTCATGAACTCCTTGTTACCTTCACAGTCATGCGCGAGCGCTCCGAGCAGCAGACATATGTACCCAGTCGTGATCTTTTCCTCCATTGCTCCCCCGTTTTCTACCTCATCTTCACTTGACCGATCCAGCCCTCGTTTGATTTTCGCTGCTTCTTCTGTTGCCGTCTTCTCGCGATTTTTGGCCTCCATCTTTTCGATCTGCTTCTTGCCAACGTTCTTCAGCAATTCCAACACCAACGTAATCGCTCCGCCCTCTCTTTCAGGTACGTCGCGAGCGCAGAGCTTCTTGAATCCCTCCCGCACTTCGTCCTCCTTATCAAGGATGCTGATGAGAAAAGCGAGGCAAAGCACACGAACATCAAAGGCTTCTTCGGATTCACTTTCTGGATTGCTTCCCTCTATCAAACCTGCCCCAATGCACTCCGAAGCAAGGCAGTCGAGCACAACCTGTGGACCTCCTTGCTTTACAAATTCCTGTGTACCAGGCTTGCAGTCGTGAGCAAGGTTGATAGCAAGCCTCAAAGCTTGGCATATCAACGGATCAGCACTGACGACACCCCCCTCAAGCGCACACGCACTCGCTATGAAGTCGAGGATCACGCGACAGATACGGCTCTCGGTAGCAACACGGAGACGGCAGGCCTGATCAAGCGTCGAAAACTCGAGAACTCTCATGGCCGACGCAGTTACTAGGGATAGCGCGACGTGCTCCTCGAATTCTTCTGCCTGAAGCTGAGAGTCTGACTCCTGAGAATCGCTTGACTGCTTCGACTTTCCCTGCAGCGCCTTCTGACAACTGTACAACACGGCGACGACTTTGTGTACCCGCTGGTTATTCCGCATCCACTCTCTTGCCTTGTCGTGTCCTTCCAGCAATAGACTGAGTGCTAATGCCATGAGATGAGCGGAGCCATCTGGTTCGCAGTTGAAACCCTCAAAGTCTTCATCTTTGATTCCAGCTTTTCGAATGACTTCGTTCACGTGAGCCAGGAACTTTTCATCCTTCTTGTTGTCACTCAACCTACGACCAAAAGCATTTCTTCCTTGTGCTTCTGATTTCGAAATATTTCTTCCGTGCTTGTGCTCTGACTCAGTACCAGCAACACTCACCTGCTTTAGGCTTTCGGCGCCATTTCGTAGAAATCCAGCGATGAGAGAGTCAAGAAAATTTTCCTCTACGTCAAGGATTCTAACTGTTGATCGAAACATGATTACAAACACTAAGGACACCAGCAGATCAACAGCTCGAGACATCCCCAGAATCCTAAAGAGGCCAACCACGATACTCTTCAATAAGGCAGGTTGAGTGGCTAAAATCTGTAGGACAACGCCACAGTCATCATCCAATTGGGTGTCTTCATCTGCTTTCGGCCTGTTTGGCTTGCGGAGCAAAAGCTGGGTAAGTTCTTGCAAAGAATTCTTGATGAGCGAGACAGTTGCCGGCTTCTTATCCTTCCGTCCTGCGTACTTGAAAATCCCATCGAGCACGTATTGCAGCTCGTCAAGAAGAACCTGGCGGCTCTTCTCATCCGGCCCGCTGCGTGCAGAGGGTACAACTGCAACATCTGGTGCCCTCACCCTTTCATGTCTCCTCTTTCGTTTCATGAAGCTGTGCAAATTCATCCGCACGGACCGATTTGCGCGCTGCGGTTCGATGAATCTCACACGCTTAGCGGGGGAAGATTTACTGGTCGTGCCTTTCAACTCCGAGGCATCTTCACCGGTAGCACTGGAACGCTTTTGGGGTGATGGCAAGACGTTGCTCTCGTCCTGAGCTTCCAGCTTTGGCTCGGCTTTGTCAGGAGACTTACTCTCTTGCTGCGCAGCTTTCACCGAAATTTCCTTTTGCTTTGTTACTTCGGCAGTCTTCTCGATCGCATTTCCAGCTGATGTACCCTCAACCGGGCTACTGGGCAACTGTTCCTCTGCATCACCATGTGCATTTGGCTCATTTTCGTCTCTCTGTTTGTTAGCGGGTTTTGGTGTAGGTTTAAGAGGCTCCGGATTCTCAGGCTTGGGTTTTGTTTGAGGCATTTCTGCCTCCACAGCGACCTCTGTCTCAACTGGGTGTTCTTCATGTGGCGCCTGCGGTTCCTTCCGCACGCGCAGCTTGACAGGTGTAGACATCACGGACTCAGAATCCTGCGGCACTCTTCCCGCCCCCAAAGTCGACGGCGGTTTAAAGATGTCATCGCCTGATGATTCCTGCTCCACGGCAGCGTCATCAGGTGCTCTGCGATCTCTCAGTTTCCCTCCCACCGTTTCGCTCTCACCTGCCCCAGCTTCGGAAGATTTTGTTTCCGTGTGCACTTCCTTCTTGGATGCCGGTGTCTGTGCACTAGGTTGCTCTTTCAGGCGACCCCCTTTCCGAAACGGACTCCGTCTCCTTGAATTGGATTCAAACACGGCCTGAAGTGCCTTGCGAGTGGGTTTAAATCGACGCAGACTACGCCGCCTCCCAGATGAATCGTTTTCGGCTCCTACATGTCGCTCCACAAACATATCTTGAGGCGACTCTGGTGAGTGTGCAAGAGTGCGCTCTGTCGAGTCTGCCTTGTTGGCAGCATCGTCGAGAGACGCGTCCGCACCACCACCGGCTGATACTCCGTCATCGTCAGCCGCCGCCCTGCTCCTGCTTACCCTACTCCTTCCCTTACTCACTTTCTTCGGCGTGCGCCCACGGCGAGCAGAAGTCGGTTTGGCCGGTGCGCTGACCCGCGTACGCCTCTTCTGAACCGGCTGCGGTTCCTCCAGCGGCTCTTCAAGAATTATCTCCGGTTGCGGTTCAGGGGCGTCGACGTGATGTAGGCCTAGCACGGAGCGCTTTCGCTTTCGAGATCGGGCTGAGTGCTGGAGGTTGATGCGGGCCTTTTCGGCCTCGTCTCCGCGAAAATCGAAGGCGGAGAGGGATATGTGCTTTGCGGCGGCGGGGGAGCGCGTCTTGGTGCGACGAGGCATGGCGGGGAGAGCACGGCCGCCGCAGTTGAGAGAGGGAAGAGCAATAGTGGTCAGCCGTTTAGAAGTTGTGCGGGAAAAAAGGTTGTGTTGGGGAGTTGGGTGGGAGGCGACTTTGGTCAGTTTGATTTTTGCCTTTTTTTGGTCGATTTGCATGGCAGGATCAGAAAGCGCGAGTCATCTCTCCAGAAGAAAGTCGGTGAGAGCAATAGCTACAGTACCCTTTTGGGTACAGCGCGATAGAAACGACCGGGACTGAAACGTGGATGTCGTCATCATCCCCTATGCATTAAACGCGCGATGTCAACGTCACCATGATCGCAAAGGGTTGATGTAAGACGGGAAAGCAATGTATCAAATATCAATTCACCCCCAACAAAAAAAAAAGAGCCTCACCACCTGTGCACCTCATCCTCACCAAGTCCGACTTTGCTAATCCATCTTGTCATCCATGCCACGCACTGCTTTCCCCTCATGCATACCCTCCAAAAGCGTTCTTCCTGTCGGTGCTTCATGCAAATTCACGCTTGTTAGACTTTCCCATTTGGCCACTCTAAATGCTCCCTCTCCTGAGACGCAGACAAAAAGCAACTGAGGTACTAACACGACTTCCGCCTTCAACTCCATGTCCTAGAATCCTCACCATTCCATCCTCTCTTTCCGAAACCATGTCTCCTCGCGCTCTGCGCAAGTTCTTTCATGGCAAAAGGGGGCTTCCGCGTCCCATCCTTGCCAAAGCGCACTCCAATTCCTCAATCTTCTCCTTCTCTTCCTCGCTTTCCTCCATCCCTCCCACCCCCCGCTCCAAACCTCGCTCCACCCTGCGCAATCTCACTCTCGCCCTCACATGCACCTCCTTCTTCACCCTCTTTCTAACCGACAGCGTCTATAACTCCCACCGCCAATCTCTAGAGCCCATCATAGTGACCGGTCAATCGCACCGCCCCTCCCCACCACCTCTTCGCCGCCCGGGAGCAAACAAAGAAACAATCTTCCGCGGCACAACGCAACACCCCGTTGGCATCGTAGCTTTCCACTTGCTACACCATCGCAATTTCACCTCGCTTCTAGACTTTCCCTGCAAAGCCCACCGTCAAATCTCTCCCTCCTTGCTCATTCTGCAGCTTCAGGAGAAGGGCGAAGAATTCCAGTATATTTGCGCTGATGACGATTCATCTCAGCTTTCCATTTCGCATGTGCTCATGCGCCGACGTCTTCCCAAGTTTCAGGGCGCGCGCTACATGCGTCTTACAAATATCCAGCGCATTCCTCAGGCTGACTTGCTCTTGCACTGGGAGAGTGGCGCCGAGATGCAAGTTGAGCAGTTACGAGCGATGCTTCTGGCAGCGAGGGTTGGAGGTATTAAGATGGCCATCGTCGGGACGAAGCCAATGAAGGGAACAAGCTTTACGCCAGAATACAACCTCGTGACGCCGAGAAGAATACGCAACATGCGACCCGGCGTGTATGGAGACGCACCATTTCCCTTTGCGTCTGCGATAACCACTATTTCGGGTTTGTATGGAGCAGAGAGGATGCTTGTGTTGTATGACTTGACAGTATTACCGGAGATCAGCATCAAGCGGGAGGGCGAAGTCAAGGAGCAGGCTAAAAACGAGATTGGGGAGGAACGGAGAGACAATCTCTAAGGCTGCCCCTTGGTATTAATTATCAGACACGATCTTGAAGCGATTCGGCTGGGTTCCCTTGAGCCGATCGAAAGAAGCTCTTCGAGCCAGGATAAGATAGCATAGCAAGCATTCCCGTTTCAGATAACGAAGCGCTGGTTTCGAGAGGCGGAAAGCAGATGCTGACTTGCACTGTACCTTTGGGTGCTGGATTTTGTTGCCTAAAACACAGCATCGAAAATCAATAAATTGGTGTTCCGCAAAGCCCAGAGACGCTGGGCATGGCACCCTTGTCCAACTTGCAATCCTCGAATCCATCGCGGTGATTGCTACAGGCCATCTCCCTCGGAAGCAGACACGGCAAAGTTCTTTAGCTTCCGTTGCACGACTAACTTCTGCCGAATTTCCCCTTTCCTCCGACTTTACCATGCTCCGTGCTTCCCTACAATGTGCACAAACGTTGATGCGTTCACGCGTACAACCATCACGCGTTCTAACAACCGCCGCTTACCGCTCCAGTTTTTTCCACTGCCCCAGCCGCTACGCCAGCACTAAGACGCCTCGAAAAGAGGCTCCAGCCTCCGTTCCGCTCGCTGCGGTCGAGATCTACGCCGGTCTCCCCGCGAAGGGGACTTACATCCAGAAGGCCGATGCAGCCCACGAGCTCGGTCTGATGGTGCGCGACTTGCGAACAGTCGATCCCAGTTTTCGTTCGCAATCGCCAGCCATTCTTCCTCGCGAAAATGGCATCATCATCCACCTGGCTCATGTCCGTCTCATTGTTCTTTCCGATCGAGTGCTCGTGTTTGACCCGGTGCACCCGGACGTGGAGCGTTTTATTCCAAGGCTGCAAAATAGGCTAAAGAACCAGTCACATCCGATGCCGTTTGAGTTTCGAGCAGTCGAGGCGGCTTTGGTTGACGTTTGCGCTAGCTTGAATTCAACTATCGGGACTTTGATCCCTTCGTTGGACCTGGTGCTAGATACCTTGTCAACAACACAAGATTTTGGAGGGAGCACAGTGCAAAATTGCATGGATAGGCTACTGCCGTTGGAAAATGCACTCAATGAGTTTGCGGCAAAAGTAGCTCAAACAAGGACTGCGGTCAATGAAGTATTGGCCTCTGACGTGAGTTAGGCACACTGGCAAACTTTCTGCTGTCGCGGATTCCCTACGCGAGTTCTTACGATCTATATACGACTAACGCTTCTCCTGCTCGCTCCCCTCTGTTACGTACTTATCCAAATCTGTTGTTTACTGGCGTATTCCACCTACTTCATCATCTGCATTTGGCTTTATTGTGAATTGAATACCGTAGGAAGATATGAGCTTGATGTATCTCAGTACTTTCAAGAACACTGGCCATCGGCGGAGAGTGGACGAACATGACGAGATGGAAATGATGCTTGAGAACTACGTCAAGCAAATTGAAACTGTACACGGAGAGGTAACATCGGCTCTACAAGCGATCAAAGCCACAGAGAACGCGACTCAAATTCGACTGGATGCGATGCGGAATCGCGTCCTAAGACTCGACATTTTTCTGAACCTTGGAGCAGTGAGCGTTGGAGTTGGCGGGCTGGTGGCGGGATTCTTCGGTATGAACCTTCTAAGCGGAATAGAAGAAGATCCTGGCGCCTTTTGGATTGTGTGTGGTTTGGCATCTGCAACCTCATATCTGTGCTTTCGTGGGACGCTCACTTATTTGAGGTATAAGCGAATTTTTCAATGAAGGCTGTGAAGGCTGATGGAGTTAATCATGGTATACATATACAGCTGCACGGACGGGCAGAGGTCCTGGGCGAGCAGCTGGAACCAGTATGAAAAAAAAAACAGTGTTCATCCTATCGGGTGTGATGCGGCAGAGAGAGGGAACTGCAAATTTTGCAGGCAGAAGCGATGATTGCGACTTCTGGTCGCTTCGATCTACAACCTTCAAGTATCTGGCCGTCATCCCCATAACTCACATCATGAGAACTGTACGCGTTCATCGCAGCCATGAAGAACACCCGCACGGCAAGACGCATGTATGTAGTCTGCATGGATGGTTTGGCATTGCGCTTGACAAGCTCATAAGTTGCGCATATACAATAGTACGTTTAGAGCGGTATGCGGCAAATGCGGTCGTGACAAAAGCAAGTGTATAGAAGAGGCGGGCTTGGCCTCCGTCTACAGGCTGCCGCAGGCGACATGACACCGCTGACGACGTGAGTCGCCTTCGGATGTCCGTCTGCGCGCAAATATAGAAAGCTCAACGGTGAGCACCAGCAGAAAAACGCACGACGTAAGCTAGACACTAGTTGTAGTGAACAGGGGATGGCCGATGAGGTCTGCATGTCGAGACCTGCGCTCTTCGTCAAATTGCTCTTGAGGCTAGCACAGGCAGACGTTGCTTCTGTCAAATAAGTCTATAATTTTTGATCTTAACATTAATTAATCCGCCACATGCATCCATGCCACTCTCCCAATTCGACCAAGTCCCCCCTCCGCTCTCCCCCGACCGATGCGGAACCGCGACAATGTCGCCGTCGCTCTCCCCCAGCTTTCGCCGCCGTCACCTGCTCGCCGACGCGACGCTCTTCTGCGGCCTCGGCCTCGTTCTGCTAGGCGGCCACCTCCTGTTCCAGCCCCACACCCCGCCGACGCCCTTTCTGAAGCACGCGCGAAAGCCGCACAGCGTCCATCCCGGAGACCCGGCCACCTGCCGCGCGACGCGAGCCGGCATGCAAGTCGTCGCCGACAGCAACGGTACGCACCCCTCCCCTCGCCCCACGCCGCTCCTGCGCCCCTACTAACGCTCATCTTCAGGCTTTGTCTGCCCACGCGCCGCGAAATCCGCGCGGGACAACTGCTGCCCCCGCGCCTCAGCGCGCTACTCGTGCCGGTCGTGCCACCTCCCCGCGCGGTGCTGCGCGTCATACGAGCACTGCGTATCATGCTGCATGGCGCCCCCGCACAGCGATATCCGCGTGGCGGGGTTGGCCGCTCTAGGACTCCCCAGTGACCCAGACGAGCCCGAAGACGTGTTCGCTGTTTGTAACGCGGCGTGCAGGTCGAGCTCGAAGAGCGTCGTGCATGAGAATGCCTACAGACATGAGAAACATCACTGCTTTGGGAGGGCGGCGCCTAGCGTCGATCCAGCTTTGCACGGAGGAATTTTCGACTTCGCAAAGCCGCTTGGCGGAGCGTAGGGGGGCCAAGTTGGATGGATAGTCTATCCAAAAGGTAGTTTAGTTGTTTGTTTGACTCATTAACTTTTATTATGAGTGTTTTGATGGTACGCTTCTGTTTGTTCGTTGAAAAGTGAAAGCACTGTTGATAGCCCCCTGCGCGATAGAATCGCAATGCTAGGATTCGTGCGGGCTTGATCAGCAGTCTACAGTAGAGTGTAAGGAAAAGATTCGTCGGCGACAACGTTTGTGAGGCGGGTGCTAGCAGACTTGGCAGAGCCTTCCGCGCAAAAGCGCATTGGCTGTTCGCTATTGCGAGTCCACCCACCTTTTTTTAGAACAACCAACCAGTGGTCGTGTACTATAAAATGACGGAAAACCGGGCCAAGCTCTGCGCCATTTCTCGGTTCAACAAACAACTATTTATGGCTATCCCACGAGTTGTACAGTAGCTAAATCGGTCATGTGCACACAGCGGGAAAGAGAGCCACAACTCTTTATGCGGGCGAGGCCGAAAATGCCAGCAAGTTAACAAGTTAAACAAAAAAGTCCAAATAAGATAGACAACCGCAGTTGTTGAAAAGCTCCAGCAAAAAGCCCAATCTTCATTCTTTCTCTCTTCCTCTCCCTCTTTAGTCTGCGCGAGCCTACCTACCTCGTGCAGCAGCAAATCAGCAAGACATCACACACACCGAGAAACGCCTACTTCGCCCCGGCAGCCTCGGGCTTTGGAGCAGCGCCGTTTCCAGCGCCGTTTATGTTTGTAGCCTCAAGTTTGCTCGCCACAACTTCGACTTGTGTCACACCCGACGACGGCGTTTCTGTCACCGCTGCCTGTTTGGGCTCTACCCGACCACTGTCCTGCGACACTTCGTCCCATGTCTCATAGCAATGGTACACCTGGCATGTTCTGGCGGGCGCGTACACTTGCAAATAATTCGGTCGATCCTGCCACGATTCTGTTCGCGTCTCATGGACCACGTTCCGATCGAGGCGCCCGTGGCCCCCAGTTTCAGACCCGTCCGAGTCGAGTACTAACCGATATCGGCCGCCCCAGTATGTCCCGACGCGGTAGTCGGTAAAGGACTGCGAATGATTGAAGTTGAAAACAAACAGCAGACGGTCGCCCCGCTCCACAACAATGACCTTATCCGTCTCGTGCTGCAAAACGACGTACTGGTGCACCTGGAAGCGGCAGAACGGGTGTTTCTCCTCCAGCGCGTGCATTTGCTGCTCAAACAGATACAGATGCCGATATCTCAGCTGCTTGTTATCCACCAAGTCCCACCGACGGCGCGCATGCTGGTACGAGTTATTATTGCCCTCGCGCGGAAAGTCGATCCATTCGGGGTGTCCAAACTCGTTGCCCATAAAAGTGAGATAGCCCTCGCCCGAGAGACACATCGTGAGCAAGCGGATCATCTTGTGCAAAGCCACACCCCTCTCCACGGCCGGCGATGGGTAGCCGTCGCAGCTCATGTCTGTGTACATGGCGGCATCCATCAACCAAAATGCCATGGTCTTGTCCCCCACGAGGGCCTGGTCGTGGCTCTCGCAGTAGCCAATCGTCTTCTCATTCCACCTTCGATTGGTGAGGGTGAAGACAATGTTGCCCATCTTCCAATTTTCGTCCTTTTCCTTTTCGAAAATCTCAATCCACATGTCCGGAATAGCCATGGCGAGGCGGTAGTCAAAGCCGAGCCCGCCGCGCTCGACGGGGACGCATAGCGTGGGCATGCCGCTCACATCCTCAGCAACGGTAACGGCAACATCCGGGTAGAGCGAGTGGACGAGCTCGTTGGCGAGCATCATGTACACGCAGGCGTCAATGTCAACCTGGAAGCCAAAGTACTCTCCATAGTCACCCGAAAACTGGACGCCGATGCCCGAGTGCAAGTAGAGCATACTGGTGACACCGTCAAAACGGAAGCCGTCAAAGTGATACTCCTCCATGTACCAGCGCAGGTTGGAGAGTAAAAAGCGGAGGACCTCCCAGTGGCCATAGTTGAACAACCTAGAATCCCAGAGTGAATGCCTCCCCCTCTCGCCCTCATGGAAGTAGTGGTGGTCGGTGCCGTCAAATTGGTTGATACCATCCATGGAGTTGGACGAGGCATGCGAGTGGACAATGTCCATCAAGACGTACAAGCCGAGTTGGTGGGCCTTATCAATCAAGTACTTCAAGTCCTCTGGAGCGCCCGACCTGCTCGAGATGGCGAAAAAGTTTGTGACATGGTAGCCAAAGCTCGCGTAGTAGGCGTGCTCCATGATGGCCATGATCTGCAGGGCGGTGTAGCCTGTCTCCTTGATCCTGGGCAGTACGTTATCCGCAAACTCCCGGTAAGTACCGACCTTCAAATCGTTGGTCCCCATACCCACATGGCACTCATAGATCCTGAGACTCTGCGGACGCTTCACATGGGGCTCAGACTTCCACTTATAACTCTCCTTCGGATGCCAGAACATGGCATCATACAAGAAGGTCGAGTTATCCTGGACACAGTAGCCAGCCCAGGCCGGGTTACGATCCAGCGACATACCCCCATGCGTAATAACAGTAGCCTTCACCTTGGTAGCATGCGGAATGCCCATGGCGCCATCTTCGGCATCCTTCACAAAGCACTCCCAAATGCCAAACTCTCCTCTCTTCATGGGGCAAGCCTTGCGGTCCCAGTTGTTAAACTCGCCGAAGAAGTACATCTCCTTTGCGCTTGGGGCCCACTCGCGGTAGCGCACGCCGCCCTTGACGCGGGTCAGGCCCATGTTCTCGTAGCCGCGCGAAAAGTTGTCCAGGCCGCCCTCCGACTCGTCAATCGCCGAGCGGATCTCCTGATACTTAGCATAGCGGTAGCGTAGGGCGTCCGCGTACGGCTCGAGATAGCGGTCGTCGCGGATGCAGGCCGTCCCGTCCGACGCGTCCTTCCACGCCTGGAAGTGCGGGTCCGTGTTCTCCTGCGCGCCGCCCATGGTGCGTGCGGGTAAACGGGGGGGGGGGCGGGGGGTGGGGTGAGTCTTACAGAATATTCC